TAAAGCCTTTAAAAACAGATTCTAAAGAAAAATTGGGTTCAAATGAGGATAAAGTAAAAATGGTTGATGAAGTTATATTATTTTCTCGACGAATCTCAAACTTTCCAAAATACAATTTTCCCAGTATTTTCCCCGTTTTCTCAAATCAGTAAGCTGATGCAACTTCCAGACCCTCTTCCCAATTACACACACACTCACACACACACACACACACACACACACTATGTTCTATAGTCAGTAGTCCAAAGAGAATGTTATGTCACATTTCGAACCCTCAAACACAAATTATCAGAAATAACTGCAGATTCCACAGCATTCATGTTGCTGCCTGACTTTTAAATTTGCAGACGCAGAAAACAGAACCGACAACTGTATAAATAAATAGATTTTGCCTATTTTTAATACTACCCTAGCACACTTAAGGTCTTTAAGCCTTGAAGATTGAGATTTGCGCGAACTCAATAGGTTAAAATGGGTGTGTATCTAGAAACACAACACAATAAAGATAATCCAAACTATTTCTATTTTTAATTAAAGGCGTTGTCTGCTGTAAAGGCTGTTAAAATTTATTGAAGTCGTAAAACACTATGGTGCTCCAGGCGGAGTTTTGTTTTTGTTTTTGTTTTGTGGGGTTGTTATTTTTTATTCAATATACGGATCTTAGCGGAACTGGGCCAGTAACCTTTTTCAGACAGGACTATAATTATAAGATCACTGGTCACTCAAAATCACTGTTTAAACTTTTATTGCCCATAGTACATTGACATGCGTTAAAACAGGTTTATATAAGTTCGTTTTACTGCTTTATCTTTTATCAGATATTGACAATGCACTGAACTTCAGTGTGGTGGACTTGGGACATTTTCACACACTTTGAAAAATATTATTAGAGTACACGATTTATTCAGATCATCACTTTGGTTACTTTAACCACCACCCAAACACTATTCCCCCCAAGGAAGGTCAACGCACAATTTGTTTCTTTATAAAACACCCAGTTGACCAACCAGTGAGTATTTCACGAAAAGAAACCCGCACTGATGATTCAAAAGCAGGTTGTTTCTATTGGTACTGTTAATGTTGTAGTTGTAATCGCTGTTGTTGTTGTTGTTTTCATTGGTGTTGTTGTTGTTATCATCGTTGTTGTTGTTGCTGCTATTGTTGTTGCTCTTGTTGTTGTTGCTGTTGTTGTTATTGTTGTTGCTGCTGCTGCTGCTGCTGCTGTTGTTATTTGTTGTATTTTTTATTTCCTTAAAAGGGCCTGTGGACTCCACGAAGAAATCTTCGAGCGAGAGCGAGGCTCTTTTTCGGCTCCATTGTCAATATGCTTAGAGGCACCTCCACTCGTCCGAATAACTCCATTCGAATTGCCATTGTTTGTTGTTGTTGTTGACATTGTTGTTCACATTATTGTTGCTGTTGTTATTGTTGTTGTTGTTGTTGTTATTGTTGATATGCAGTTGTATTTAAGTTAAAACAGCACGCTGAAAGGCAACATAAAGCAGGGCTAGCGAAAGATTTTTTTTAAAACCTGACCAGAAAAAGAGCAATAAGACACAGATATTGATGGTCCTGGATTAAAACCATTTTCAACACAATGTAGTAATTTAATTTAAAAGTCTGGGGGTTTTTTCCAACAGAATTCAACCAAACAGGACGGACAGCATTGAAAAAGCTCTAACTAAACCAAAAATCAAGAGTTGTCACTGGGAATTCACACATGCAGGCTGTCAACTGCACCCCAGTTCTACATGGTTTGAGTTTGAGTTAAAATTTGAATAGACAGACCTTCTTTTAAAGAATAACGCTCATTTATCGCAAGAAAAAACTTACACAAAGAGGCGGGAACTAGAGAGGGACAGCAATAACGTAAGTACAGCGTGATTCATCGAGCAATAAAAAGCAAAGTTTGGTGTAGGGAACATTTGAAATGATTAGCGCCCACCACACGCCCACCACACGCCTTCCCCTTTTCTTGAAAGCGCTGGGAATGAACAGCAGAAAATTGGGAGAGACGCAGGGAGACTTTGACGTCACAAAAAGGATCGCGATTATCGAAAGGTGTGGCACTGGGATAGGTGTTTTGGTGGAGTAGGCGGGACTATGAGGTGACATGGAGGGTTTTGGGATTTTTCTTTTTTTTTTTGGGGGGGGGAGGAGGAGGAATTTTTATAGGAAAGGATGTTTGTGTCTGTTCAGTACGCGCACACACTCACGCACGCACACACACACACACACACACACACACACACACACACACACACACATACACACATACACAAACATGCACACAAATAAACACACACAAACATACACGCATATACACACATACACACATTCACACACATACACACATATATACACACATACACACACCTATATCTCACACACAGACACACATACACACACGCACAGTCACGCAAACCCACATACACACACGTGCGCGCAAACTCGCGCGCGCACACACACACACACACACACACACACG